CTGCGCGATAACTCCTGATCGGATGGTCCGATTTGGACGAAATTTAGCTTGTTGGAATCGTCACGCAGAGGAGAATCAGAATCCAGCATCAGTTTTATGATAGCTAGCCTGCTTAAAAAAGCTTTCTAAGCTCAAAAGTCATTAAATATTATTTTTAATGTAGATCTTTATATTATACAAAATTGGCATTATTAATTAGCTAATAAATTTTTATAGGATATTTTTCAAAATGTAAGCATTAAAATAAATTAAAAATTATGTTTCTAGCATTTGTAGTTAATAAGTTATAAGTGTTTAAAGCTAAAAATAAGTTGTTACATTTCTTTTGTTAGCCACTGTATATTAAAATATATAATAAAATAGATATAAATACAAGCCTTTTTGTCAGTTAGAAAAGACAGACAGGCAGCTGTATAAAAACTCTCTCTCTTGTAAAAGATAGCACAATGCTACTCTTCACTTTGTGTACTTTTATTTCTTATTTTTATTTTTCTTATTTTTTTCTTATATTTTATCTTACTATTTCCTTTTTACTTCAATAAGTATTTCTTATTTCTTATACAAGACTCTCTGTGAATATCTCTAATAACTCTTAACTTATGAATAGAACTACTCACATCTAGTAAATTGACTTAACTTAATAAATTAATAGTAAAATAACTGAGATTTAGCGTGAAACTAATTAGAATTATACGTAAACTATAAAAGAGTCAACTTTCTGATACTGCATCTAACAGTTGCAACCTAAAGAAGATTGTATTTTAGCATTTGGTAATGATAATAGGATCCTCTTCTCCTGTTTATATATTACAGCAAAACTGAAATAACTATTAATGTATTCTCATAAATATATTTCATTCATTTGAACAATTTATTTAAGTATCAGAAAATTCATCATCAGCTGTACGCTAAAATTGATTAAAATATTAAGACTACAAAATCACTTACTGAAGATTCTTCTTACCTTACTTGTAACTTTAATACTGATTTCTCTAAACTCTTAAAAGCCTTTCAAACTTTCTTTAACTAGGCTGTTAACAACCTTTAAGCATAACGATATACTGATAAAGCTGTAACTGCATTTAAACAAACTATTATTGTGCTAAATATTAATCTTAAATGAGTGTACTTTTGACAAGCTTTGTGTTTTTTACATTATAATAAACAACCTTCTACTACCTTAGATCAAGCTACTAAATCTTATGTCAAAGATTTAAAGAAAATCATTATCAGAAAATTGCACAAATAACAAATTTAAGAACTGTTATCACTACTCAGTCGAACGTAAATAAATAACCTTCTACTAAATAAGAGAGAAGGAGCTCTCAAAACTTTGAAGATAATTTAAACATCATCAACCTTGACTCAGATTCTGAATACAAACCTAATGTTAGAAGTAGTAGTCACTCTCGTCTTAGTAATACCAGTAGTATAAAATTAGAAAATAGCTATAGCTTTAGTAGTGCAAAATTTGACAATTAGGGTATCAGATCTAAAAATAGAAAGTTATATCAATTTTATCTTATTTTTGACTCTAAAAATAAGGACAACAATGACACTAAATCTCTGATGTAAAAGACAAAAATAGACAAATAGACAACACTATGCAAACAAAAATAAGTGATGAAAAAAGTCACAGAAAAAGTCATCTCAGGCAATCACGCTAATCTTCTTATTATGATAATTCTTCCTTTAGCTTAGATTCTAGTGATAGTTTTCCTAAAAGTGAAGACAAAGTTGACCTAATCACTGAAAATATTAATAATATCGATTTGCCTAACAAACCTTAGCTTTTTCAAATGAGATTACAAAGCATCTTACATTTTACAGGATTTTTAGGTTTAAGAAAAGCTAGATTTGTAGATCTTCCTACATTTAAAGAAGGTGACCAAGATCCTAGCGACTAGTTGAAGTGATACAACTATGCATATGAAGCTAATAGCATTTCTGATAAAGAAGATTGACACTAGTACCATCCTTCATGAAAGGATCAGCTCTTACCTGATTTAATAAAACAAAATTTGAAAAGAATTTATACTATTAGAATAATGACAGTGATTGATAACATGAGCATTGATCTTTTGTTTATCATTTTTCAAATATTATTGCACTACTAATAGACGAACGTAATAGCGAACTACTTTTTGACAATGCAAACAAAGGTCTAGACAATCTGTAGAGGAATATGCTATAGAAGTAGAATCTTTATACCTAAAATTGAACCCAAAATATAATACTCTAGAAGATGAAAAAATTGAATAATTCCTTTAAGGTTTATGGCCTGAATTTAATATCACGCTTGCTGCTGCTACTTCATATGACTTAGAAGAAGTAATTGATCAATCTCATTTAATTGAAGCTGTATTATCTCGTAATACTACTTTATCAGGTTATTTATTAAGTAAAGCCTACTTGAATTACAGTGAAGAATCAAAGGAAGAAGAACAACCTGCCAACATATAATAACTCATTGATAAAAATAATAAAAAGTTAATCAAGGAGTTTAAATATTATTCAATACTATTGCAGTTTTTAAATCTACCAATGATCGAATCAATAATAATTGAAGAAATTAATTGAATAATAATACATCTGAAGGTAGTAGGCAAAACTGCTATAATTATAAAAAATAAGATATTTTTCTAAGAATTATTAAGCACTAAAAAACAATCACAATAACAATGATAAATGCCACAACTGCAAACAATTTGGACATTTTGCAAGAAACTACACTACTTAACCAAAAACTTTCTGTCTTTATTGTAAACAACATGAACACTGAAAAAATTTATATTCAACTAAAAACAGATTAGGATGAATAGAGGCCAATGTGTTACACTTTTATATCACATTCTAATGATGCCTGATAATTAAAATATATACATAATGTTAATAGGTACTTTACTATCACAACCTACATACATGACCTTTACTCCTGTGTATCTATCACATTCTCATTTAAACTACTAACAGTGTCTCTAGAGGGTAAATACATCATAGAAAATCAAACCCTTCAAAAGTAATTAAAGCTATTTATTGTTAAGTTCACGTAGATAGAAAATTAATATATTTAATTTGATTCTGATCAGCAGAAAGTGTAATGTCTAAATCATTTTTACAACAATTAGGACAATAAATAGAAGATTCTTCTTAAATTACAATAATAAATATTCAAGACGAACACTCTTAACTATTAGGATAAGTGATAAATATATCAATTCAAATTGATAACATTGAAATCCTAATGAATGTCAATATCACTGAATCAAATAATTATTATATAGTAGCTAGTAACAATTGGCTCACCAAGTGTCAAGCACAATTATATTGGGATAAGCATACTTTTATTTTTAAATAAAATGGAATCATACATCAAGTTCTAATAACCTGTTGGGAAAAACCTGTATTTGATCAATTTCAACAACCAACTTCTGTAATAAATCCTACAAATGAAGAATATGAAGAAGAAATTCTAGTCTTGTAATAACATTATACAATTTTAAGTAATAATATCAGTCAGCCAATCCTTATTAAAGCTAAGTCAGATCAAATTTTAATTTAAGGATAATAATACTCTCTGCAATATTATGAGAATTTGAAGTAAAAATTTGATGTTTAATCTCCTTCTAATGAAAAATTAAAATATTATTAGCAAAGACTAGAAAATTGATGTTGATAAGTCAATAGACATTTATAAATTATGTCAAAAAGAGTGAAAATATTTACAATTGCTCTCAAATATCCCTGAGGAAAAGCCAAAAGTTCCTAAAATAATTGTATTCTTAGAAGGAAAATAATAGCAACAGTTAACCACCTTTCTCAAGTAAAATGATGATTTATTTGCAGATGATCTCTCTCAACTAGGGCATATCAATGTTAAAACATATCATATATTATTAGAATAGATATACTAATATGTTAAAGATTATATCGAGTTGCTCCTACTGAATAAGATTTTATCAAGAAAGAAATTACTAAAGAATAAATTGATACAACCATCTAAAAGTTCCTAGATTTCTCCTATAGTTTTAGTAAGAAAGAAAAATGACAAATTAAGATTCTGTATTGACTATTGGAAACTCAACAATGTAACTCAACAAGATTATTATCCTCTTTCACATATTGATAAACTTTTAGATATATTTAGTAAGGCTAAATATTTTACGACACTTGACTTAGCTAGTGGATACTAACAAGTCACTATGATATTGAAAGATCAATAAAAGACTGTATTTTACTAGTCATAGATTATACGAATTTACCATTATACCTTTTGGTTTAACTAATATATAAGCAATATTCTAAAGGTTTATAAATAAAATCTTTAGAGATGAAATTGAAAATATGTAGCTATCTATTTAAATGATATAATTATCTTTTCAACAACTTTAAAGAACATCTCGCCCACTTGAAAAACATATTTTAATAACTAAGAAAAGTTAGATTAAAATTAAGATAAGATAAATGTGAATTTGAAAAACTTGAACTTGCTTTCTTAGGATACATCATAAATGAACAAGGAATTGCTCTAAACCCTTCAAAAATTGAAAAGATTAAAGACTTTTCAATACCTTCCAATATTATTGAACTTCATGGATTCTTAGAATTTGCTTTATATTACCATTAATTTATATAAAACTTCTCAACAATCGCTACACCTTTACATCTTCTACTCAAAAAGAAAACTGTATACCAATAGATGAGAACTCAGCAATAAGCATTTGAATATCTAAAGAAATGTCTCATTACAGCTTCTATTCTTATTTATCCTAACTTTTCTAAGAAGTTTCTGCTATTTACTGATGGATCATATATAGGACTAAGCACTGTTTTAACTCAATTAGATGATCAGCTAAAAGAATATATAGTTGTATATATCAGTCGAATACTTAACAATACTAAAAGAAACTATGCATCTACTGAACTTGAATATCTCACTACTGTTTAGACTGTAAAACATTTTAAGACATATTTTCTTTATCAACCCTTCGATCTGATCACTGATTATGCTGCACTGCAATGGTTATTTAATAAACCTGACCCATTATATAAATTTATGAGATGAATTATACAAATTATAAAATTTTTCTATAATATTCGCTATTATAAAGGCAAAATACAACAAAACGCTGATACTCTATCTAAATTGCCTTCCTATTAACCTCAATATCAAATTATCATTAATTAAAGTGAAAGTGAAAACATTAGCAGTATAACTAACGATTCTAATATTCAAAATAGATATATAATTATATTGTTATCTTACAATACTAACAACTGAAAATTAGTATTAACACAAGATTAACAAAGGGATTTAGCTTTTATTAAATACTTTTTAGGGAGAACTCTGAATAGTTTACAAATAATTATTATTTCAAACGATAATATATATTTAGAATAAACTTTAGGATTTATTAAGGAATAAAGAATTCAGTACAATTATATTTGTTAGCATATAATTGTTATTAGTATTTATTTTATTGGTGATAAAAACTAATTGAATTCCAATTATTTACAAACTATTATCTTTTGTTATCTATTGCTATTTATTGCTACTCAAAGTTGTCTCAAGTTGTCTGCCTTAACCAAGTCTTAAAGCTATCCTATTTATATTAAATTTGCTAATATAAATAAATAAAATACTAATTGATTATAAATGATAAATGATTAATAATACAAAAATGATTAATAATATAATGGAATTTTCCGGCGACTTTTGGGTTTTTTGCGTAACTTTTGTTTAATTCATTTCTCTTGTCTTTGCCATCTTCGTCGTTTAATGTAGTGCAGTTAATATGCCTTTTTGGTTACGTGTGTCACGTGATCTTTTGGATTAATATCTTCCTATAACAATACATATAGTATAACTATATGCTAGATTCTTTAATGAAGCATAAGCGTTCACAAATATGATAGTTAAATATACTTCTACAAATGAAATTTGATACTCATTATTATGTAAGAAATAGATTAAAAGCAAGAATAATGACATGAAATAATAACAAACTATTATTACACAATACTAAAGAATATATTGAAGTACACAAGCAACAATTAAATTTATATAGATGCTTTATTTGCCATCAAAGAGATTTAGGTATAAACTATCCTATAAATTTCTATGCTTACCATTACTATCTTATTCACTAAGCAAATTTGTCTTGACTAGCTTTATCTCTTCTCTGAATATATTATCTGGCAGTCTGATATCAATGGATTCTCAGAATATCTTATCACAAAGTTAAGTTTCTTCTAAAGTCAAATATTATATATATAAATACCTATGGAAGTCTTGTAATAACAGAATTAATAAGTACAATAATACAATCCTTTTTTATAAGGCAAAATGAAACTGAGATACTTACCTCATTTACTATTCTCATAAACGTATATGATTTAAAATATAAGAAAATCCTTTCAAATGTTAACGTATCATCATATTTCAATTGTAAAGAGAAATGATCTCTAATATGATTCATGAA